ATAAATTCTGAACCAAATATGACAACTTTAAGAGAATTGGCAGCCCCTAACCTAAATGTTCAACCGCTTTCTATCACATATGCTGAGCTAGAAAAGCCTTTAAAACTGAATTCTGGCTTCATAAATTTACTTCCAAAATTCCATGGTCTTCCTGGAGAGGATCCCTTTAGGCACATCTCTGAATTTCTGATTACTTGCGGTGCTATGGTGCCTGAAGGGGTTGCTCAAGACCAAATTAGGTTGAGGGCTTTCCCGTTTTCTTTAGCTGATAAGGCAAAGGACTGGTTGTACTACAGCCGGTTCTTTCACTACTTGGAATGCTCTACACAAAGCTTTTTTAGAAAAATATTTTCCAGCTTCTAGGATAGGTTCAATTAGGAAAGAAATATGTGGGATTAAACAAATGATTGGGGAGAATTTTTCTGAATATTGGGAAAGATTTAACAAACTTTGTGCCTCCTGTCCTCAACACCAGATTTCTGAACAACTTTTAATCCAATATTTTTATGAAGGGCTACTTCTTACTGAGAGGGGCAACGTGGATGCTGCCAATGGGGGTGCCCTGGTTAATAAAACACCTGAACAAGCTAGGAAATTATTTAATTTGATTGCTCAGAACACCCAACAGTTTGGTACTAGGGAAACATTAGTGAAGAAAGTGAATGAAATTGGTAATTCTTCTATTGAAAACAAACTTACTGAACTTACCAATGTCATTTCACAACTTACAACTGTCGGAGGGGTTAAGGGAAAACCTTGTGGGGTTTGTTGCTTGGAAGGACACCCTACTGATGCTTGTCCGACTTTGCAACACCCCGAGGTAAATGCTATTTTTTATAATAATAATCAAAGAAAATACGATCCTTTTTCTAATTCTTACAATGAGGGATGGATAGACCACCCTAATCTTAGGTATGGTAATGGGCAGAACTACCAGGCTCCTAGGGGTAATTTTCAGAATTTTAACAATCCATCACAACAGCCCTCTTTTGATAAAAACACTCAACTTTTGGAACAGGTTCTTAAGAAAATGGATGACAAATTCTCCGGTTTTGACCAAACTCTTAAGCAAATGCAAGAAAAGCAATCTGCCACTGAAGTTACAGTGAGTAATTTGCAAGCCCAACTTAACAATAGGTTTCCTTCTCAACCATTTTTGAATCCTAAAGAGAATTTGAGTGCAATTGAGCTTCGAAATAAGAAAAAACTGCAGGAACCTAGTTTTGTCAGTAGGGAAGAAAGGGAGA